GTGACGTCACCAAGTGGTGTACAGTGTCTTACTCCTTTTTATATCCCCATACAGATATGCACGTATGGGACACACGTACATCTCGTTGGCGCCCGTCCGTCCGTGTACAGGTCTACCAAAGATGAAATGTATAGACCCGACGCCATGGAACGTATATATACACAGAAACGGAATACTTCGAGGAAATTCCCTTACAAAGATGAAGAAAGTTGGAGCTGTCCTGCGTCTCCGGGGTAAAATCGTAAACAACGAAAGCGCAACATGGACTTCGTAAAGATCCACCAGTCTCCGGCGGTGGCTAAGAAAAATGCCAACCTGCAATTGACACTTTACGCTGTGCAGCACGCTCTAACCATGGCGCTTGTGCTTCGATTGGAGTCCTGTACAGCGAGATACAGTTGGTGGGGCATACTAGACTATGCGTTGTTCACCACACCGACCGTGGCACCACCAAACCTTTGTCGTTCGGCCTCACCATGGGTCCCACGATAGCCCTGCAACGCAGCAATACATTCGCACATGTCTTGTGTCAATTGGAGTATTGCGGGGGCAGATCCGCTACCCACGTCAGGTGTTTGGTCGTTCGTTATCTACCCCACCAGTGGGGTAACGGTGCATGTTCCCCACCAACCATGGCACCACCAAAACTGCGATGTTCCTCACGATGGGTCCACCCGGTAGAGGTGCTGTGAGCGCTGATTCACACTGATGAAAAAACTGCCTCGCCGAAGCCAGCCAACAAAGCAAAGCAAACTCACTGCCCCCGACCCATTGCCCTTTGACCCAGAGGGGATTGGACCCACACGTTTGCTACAGGAGCAGCGATCGCGGAAGAAGCAGGAATAGGAACGTCTTGTTCAGTCTTTCCATGCGCCCTACAGGAAGCTGGAACGCTGGAATCGAAGCCAAGGGCGCGTCCGGACCATCACGCCCCCACAGAAGGCGGCCACTCGTGTAAAAGGTGAGCTCCGATAGAGTGTAGCATGTTCCAGTTATTCCGGAGAGTTATTTGCGGACCTCGCCCCGGTGTCGTTACAATATCTGTGGTGTGTGAAACGTCCATTGAAGTTGTTGTTGTATCCATTGCCATACAGCAGCAGCAGTGAGTGGGTCGAGTGCGTCACGGGGACATGTGTCTGGCGGTATTAGGGCGTGTCTTAACGCTCTAGACCAAACAGGGAACAAGGAACTCGGAATTCCCTGTTCCCTGTTCGGTGTCGTCACCTCATTTTCAGAGAACATGGCACACTTGAGCGCGCGCGTGCGGCCCGCATGTCCTCAAAGGTAACAGATACAACCATCGGATGCAGAGGGACGAGTGGGTGGTAGAGGAAGGAGGAGGTGGTGTAGGTTTCGAGGGAGCCTGTTGACGAGCACACATCAAATACATGTGCTAGGTATCGGCAGGAACAGGCGGAGCTCGTCATGCAATCCGCACCCTCGACAGTGCTCTGGAAGGCTTGTAGCTTTTTGAGTTGTGGTCCATGGCAGCTTGCCGTTTCTTTGACACTTTATTATGTTCCCCACCTCGCGACCATCCGCCGCCGTTTTTTTGCATGCGAGTCCAAGCGAGACACCAGATGCTGGCGGCAATGCTTGTATACTGCTTGAACTGGTAGCATGCAGCCTGTGGCAGCCACATGCCCGAGGGTGATCACACACATCCCACCACGTCCTGAATTGCCACCGAAGAGCCCGTGTTCCACGTGCCCTATGGTCTGTTGGCAAATTTTTGTGAACGAGGGAGTGAAAATTATTGTGCGGCGTAAACTAAATCGCCATCTTTTTGACATATTTCTAACTCGAGATTCCTGCATTATTTGACTGGATTATCGGGATTCCCGATAATTCGAGTTTGAAATACCGCGCGGAGATTCCCGAACCATGGGTCGGGAATTTTCCTTAAGAAAAAAATATACCTCGAGGAACCGTAAGACGGTCGTTTGGATCTTGATATTTTTTTTCGTGCTGGCCACCCCCGACCGAGAGAAAAAAAAAATCTCCGAAATAATCACGCCGTAAGACTCAGCCTGACCCATGGGTCGGGGCCAAAAAAAGCCAAATAAATATAAAGAAATGCCACACACGTTCCCTGTTTGAGGTTCCCTGTTTGAGGTTTGAGGGAACGTGTGAACGTGTGTGGCATTTCCTGTTTCCAGGAAGGTAATTTTGTTTGGCCAGCCAATCAGGCAATAATTCCGAGTTAGTTTCCTGTTCCCTGTTCCCTGTCCAGAAAAGGGACGCCCTATTGTTGTCGGGCGCATGTAGACTACATTCACCTGCCTGGAGATCAACGTCACATGGGTGAGGAGGTTCGCATGGTATTCCGGCAACCTTTGGAATGCGCGCTGGCGGCATTTCTTCGTGTTCGCCGTGCCGAGCACTGTCTGTCGCACATGCCCATCATCACACATCCTCTCAGGCATCGCGCCAACAACGGCAGCCCCCAACAACAACACCCAGTTCAAGACAAGCGGGCCAACAAAGAGGAGGAGCATCGTCGTCCTCTCCCCGCCTCGGCGATCCAGCATTCTCAACGTTTCAAACCGCCAAAGGCCAAGCCTTCGTGACAACCAAAGAGTCCGTGAGAGTTTGTCGATGCCCGTGGAGGTGACGGAGCCGTTTCTGAGAGGTCAGCACGAAAAACGGAGAGATACAGCAGTAGCAAGCCACTGATGACATCGTTCATTTTCCTAATCTGATCTGAGGGGCCACGCCGCACGCGGGACGTGATTATCTCTGCCGTACATTAGTCTAGATTATATCCGTACGATGCCGAATGAAGACATAGTCTACATACTCAAGAAACCATGGCAATATATGTTGAAGCACACGGGAGTCAATGTTAAAGAAAGCGAGTCAAGCAACCAGTTGTCTGTAGCTCGTATGCATAGAATGGCTGCCTAACGTAGCATCGGCACTATCACCAGTAAGTAGCGGAACGTACTCAAACATCCATTCGGCTGCAAGTAGAGTCGGGAAGGTGCAGCCGTTGGCGTACCAATGTAGTGTTGTTGTAGGAGCTGTTTTTACTTTGCAACAAGAGCGCGACACGAAATGTACTTGCACACGTCCGGTCGGGGTCACGGTGCGGTTGTCACGGGACGCATGGCACTGGACAACGAATATTATGTGGTCCGAAAAGCATCGTGGACGATACAACGAACATCTTGCATTTCTAAGGCGAAGAGAAGAGAAAGGAGAAGAGCCGGGAAACTACATTGTATTGCGAGGGAAGGTCGTTTTCGCATGGCGTATTCTGTCAAGGAGACGAGTTGTTTGTGTGCAGGGAAAACGGGGACATGGACGAAGAGCTCGGAGAGGTTGAATATTGTCGGAAACGCCCAGTCGCCGTGCTTAGAAGCAACCCACCCCGAAAGTACAATGTGTACGTGGTCGGCAGGATCTGCACGTGGTTGCCCATTATATCCGCTAGGATCTCTGAGGGTTGCCTCTAGCCTTCAACCGCAAATCTGACACATTTTCGCAAAAGAGCCGATGTCCGGGGGAAGAACATAGAAGAACTCTTATATTTACTGCAACTAATATTCACTTGCAATTTCCAATTCCCAAATCCGTAGACCACAGACCCTACATATTGGCACCAAGAAACTTTGAACGTATTGCTTCCAATTTTTTGTCAAAAAATACAACAACGTCGTAAGTTGGAAGTTTGGATTTTTTTGAAGCGAAATGGCTGTGTATGAAAAAATAGCTCCTACCGAAATAAACAATCGTGCTACGCGCTTCTTCGTGTACTTCTTCCAAGGAGAGAACAGAAGTAATGATCGCCCTGAATCACGTCAGTCAACGATGTCTCCCCCCTATTTTCAATCGTATTTTCCACCGCTGCGCCCCAGCCTTTACATGGGGGCCGGGACTCCTATTGACGCACACTTTTCCCGATGTGGTCAATCTCCCACCGTAGGCACTTCAACCCACATAGAACTTCGCCACCGGCATATCAACCTAGAACTTTGCCACCTACACATCAACCTAGAACTTAACCACCAGGGCCAACCTAGTACGTATCGCGTGGGCTTGGGGTTAGGGTTAGCGTTAGCGGTAGGGTTATTAGCCGCTATAGTGCCCCTTCCAAGGCAGATAATCAATTGTTTAGGAGTATTGGTGCGGTTGAAAGGCTCTCATTGGCTGCCCATGGGCTTCCCATGGGCTTCCCATGGGCTTGCTCATGGGCCGCCCATGGGCTGCCCACGGGCGACCCATGAGCAAGCCCATGGGCAGCCCATTCGGGCGTGGGCATGCCCATGCCCATGGGTCGCCCATGGGTCACTCATGGGTCACCCATGGGAGTCCCATGGGTCGTTTGGGAAAACTGTAGAAAGTGTAGGAGACCCGATGTGGTGGACGGAACAACACCGGACGGGGTTGACTTCGTTCCTCTCGCTGTGGGAGTTTGCCCAGACCACCCCACGGCTTGTCGCGTTAAAACAAACGACAGTTTGGTAGGGCAGAAAGTGCGTTCTGAATGTTTATTCGGTGCAATAAAGCATGGAGTGAACGAAACAGAGGCACTTCTGACGCAGAAAAGCACAACAATATGTGCTTGGTGAGCGCCACGCGCAGTTGCCGCCGGGTGTCACCTCCCTCGTGTCTGTTGCTATTCTCACACACAAACGAAAAAGCTTTGCAACTAGCCCAGCGCAGAGTGTTGAGTAGGTGTGACGAACATATGCCAGGAAACCAGGCTCGGTTTTCGGCACACATCACCACCCCCTCACCGTCTGCTGAGCGACCATGGAGCAACCTGGTGTCAACTTTTACGAGAATGCTCACACCATGCCCTTTAAAACAACAACAAGAGTACAGACAACCACTCCTCGCTAAACAAGTACAACAACGTTCCACTAACAGATGGCGGCGGCGGCGGCGACGCTGATCAAAAGCAATCGAAAGGCTCCGGGGTCTCTCCCCTCTCGAAAGTAGAAGCGCTCGACGTCCCATCCCAGACGGCACCCCCATCTATTGCTACGCCGGCGATGGACACGGACGGAGGAAGTTCTGCCGCCGCTAGCGGCGGCGGGGGCTACTTTGAAACGATGGGGGGCGGGGCGGGCGACACCGGCGGCGACATCCTGGACCAGGGAGCGGGGATTTCCTTGACCGCCGGGAGCGGCGGCAGCGGTTACGGGAGCACCGGTACGAGTGTAGTGTGGAGCACTGCCAAAGAAGACCAGGCCAGGGTTCCCAGCTTTACCGACCTTTCTCTGGCGGAAGAATCCACGCGCGCGATCTCGTCGGCGGGCGGCCTCGAGCCCATTGCTTCTGCCGCTTCTGCTGCTTTGATTGACCCGTCGCCGGGCCCTGCGGATGCTTCCGCCCGGGTGGTCTCTGCCGGTGCCGCTGGCGGAGGCAAATGGCTGCGCGACGGCGAGTTATCGGCGGTTTCTCCGAGCATTGGAAGGACGGCGGCGTCACCTGGAGGGGCCGCTGCCGCCCGCGCTGCCACTTCCCCTGCAGTCCCTGAGGGTGTGTCGGGCGAGACAAGAGGCGGGGGCGGGGGCGGCGGGCGTTCGAGTCCGCTGCACTCGGTACGTTGCCATCCTTGGTTTCGCCGGACCTTCTGGCGAGGCGTGTTATCTTCCTTTTTTAGTGCGGATAGCCCGGCCCAACTAACAAACATTTAGGATTTTTTTTTCTCTTTTCCAGAAAAGATTTGCCATATTTCACCCCGTACAGGCACTCCACGGACGACATTGGCGTATGCGCGGTGTTCATGTCGCGGAAAATGGAGCACCGCCGTGTTATACGTTGACCTGGCACGACGGTTGCAATGAATCACTGTTTCGGCCTGCAGGAAGGTCGTGGGCAACATTCATTCGTGCGATGTATACCTGGCAACGCAAACGAAAGAAGAGAAGACAACCCTGACGTGATGGTGTTGCGGGTGTCGTGTGGTCGCGCCCTGGGGAGGAAGTCGTCCAAAGGGGATGAAGAAACGGTGGTTCTCGATACACCGCCGCGGCAGACGGAGTAGATGGCCCCGTCCTGACAAGCCCCACTCAGCGCTGTTGTTGAGATAGAAGCCCTCGTAGAAACCCTTGCTGGGTAGCGAGAATGAAGATGAATCAGTGTAAAGTTGATGCGGTCAGAGACTTAGTGTGATATTGACCCCGGAATATACTTTGATCCAGCCAAGGTTCATCATTGCTGTAAGATCTCAAAACTACCGGCATTTCTTGGCTTTTTTTCTGTGGTCCCCGTCTCTCCTTCCTTCGGCGAGAAACGCAGAGGTTCTGTGGCAAGAGAAGCGTGATAACCGCCGACTCCAAGACCAACGAGATCTTCGCCCACCCGCTCGCGACCGAGGGGGCGGGAAGCGTATTCCCCGTGGACCTGCCGATGAACAGAAGGTGCGGCGTCACTGCCGTTGACGTCATCGCCGTTGTTCTCGGATGCTGCCCTTAGACCCCGATTTATTGGAACAAATCTTGTTTTGGGCAAATCTTGTCTTTTCGGCCTTTTGGGCAGTCTGCTTCCAGAACGAATGCGAATCAGCTGTTCCACCTTCGAGAAGAGACATAGCTTTGGCTGAGATGTCTACAAATTGCCTATTTGTTTCGCAAGGGTCCCCGTTTGATTTTTTCAAAATGTGCAATTTTCACGCAAAATCCTTCCGAAACCAGCATTTTTTCAAATCTTGGCAAATCTTGACCCAAGATTTGCTCGGAGTTGGCTATCCGGCCCAATCTTGGACGAATTTGCAAATCTTGCTCTGCTGGAAAAAAATCAAACGTGGACCCTGGCGAAACTAATAGGTGATCTGTAGACATCTCAACCAAAGCTGTGACTTTTCTCGAGGGTCGAACAGCTGATTTGCATTCGTTCGCGACGCAGGCTGCCCAAAAGGGCGAAAAAGGCAAGATTTGCCCAAAGGAAGATTTGCTCCCCATAAAGATGGGTCTTACGACCGTGATATCTCAGCACGGATACCCGTTACGGCCTCTGCCCGGCCACCTCTCTAGTACCAACCCGTCCATCGGTAAGGCGAGGATGGGAATTTACCGCTCTGTCCCTTGTTGTACCCGGTGTTCTGTCGTGTTACCTACCTTTGGGTCTGGCGGCGGCGGCGGCGGCGACGCCGTGGTGGTGCTGCTGCAGACGGATATTTGAGATCGGGTTCATCAAACAGTTCGACAGGTATGTAAAAAGTGATGCAGAAGCGGGATAAGACCGCTTGCTTGGTTGAAATGTATCACGTGGAGTGAGAAACAAGTGCAAGGCACAATTGCAATCACGCCTGAGGATGCAAAACACGAGGAGTTGAAGGAAGAACGACAGAAAAAGAATAAAGAGGAAACAAACACATCCAAAACAAAAACAAAGAGATTTCAGGACACACTGTGTACTCCGGCGGTCAAGCCTGCAGACAAACGGACAGGCACACTTTTGGATCCAAACCACTGCAGGGGAGAACGCAAGGCAGTTTTCTTGGCCATTGGTTGAGCGGTCTACTCGCATATTTTTCCGTCTTGTTGGGGGACCACGGAGCGCTAATCGTTACACCGCCCCTACTGGGGGTCCTCAAGAGCACTCTTCTTGTCCCCTCGTTGCTAGGATAGAGCTAGAATACGATATCCGATTCGGCTTTCTCGACGAGTTCGAGTTGTCTAGTCGACACCCTTCCATATTGCTCCTCCCTCTCAGTCCCGCGCGCCCCCACATTGTCGTCCGAAATCGCTTTGCTCTTGCAACCGCATACAAAACATCGGAAAACGAGAAAAAGAGGGAATGGTTTTTGCATTCGTTGACACATGCTGTTCTCTACATGACCACTGCAAGCAACACCTCGCGTCTCGCAACGACTCTCCACTTTTAGTGTCGGAACCTTCACCACCGCCTTCGTGTTGCGGTCACGTCAGGCTGGCCATCAACCCCAACGTCGGGGAGTTCTGGATGCTGATCGACGCCCACTGGGTTTCTCGGTGGGTGGCGTTCGTGCTAGGACAGGCGGGCCCGCCTGGTCCCATCTCCAACGACAGGCTCTACAGGGAAGACGCGTTTGCGCCCACGGCGGCGGCGGCGGCGGCGCCTCAATCCGTGGCCTACGACGTCGCCTTTCGACGGGAGGGTAAGTTGTCGTCGATGGCGTTCTCGTCGCCATCGACTTCGTCGTGGCTGCAATGTTGTTGCTAGTGCTGGTGGTGCTGGTGGTTGTTGTTGTTGTTGTTGTCTTCACATTAAAAACCGTTCCGATCTCTCTCTACCCAGTACCTTCGTATGTCCGTACTGATCCAACATTCGACGCGGTCGATTCCCGTGGTCACAGGTTAACTTACCCTAAAAAGGTACACTCAAATAAACTGGCCCCGAGGGGTCCGCAAGTCAATAGAAATCAACGACAGATATTCTGGGATCCTCCGCTCCCTCTTCACGCTATGCGGGGTATCAACTGAGATTAGCAGTCACTATCTATCATGGGCCGGAGAGAAAGAGGCACACTCCCTTGGTTCAATCTTGGTACTTCACAACGCAAGCAGAGACAAGTCCATCTGGCACAGAAAAAGAGAGAGAAAAAAAAAGAGAGAAAGGTGCTCGTCCTCATATAGCAAAATGCTGAACCTGAAAACGCCTTGGCTTGTCTCTATCGCTACTGCGAATACGTTGTCGTCGTCGTCGTCGTCGTCGTCGACGGTGACGTTGATGTTATGTTGCTAGTGCTAGTGCTGCTGCTCGTCTTGATTTTGTTTTACGATGATTCAGAATCGCCCTTGTCTCTACAAGTACATAGTTCTCATCCAAACGTCTGCGTGGTCAGCATAAACTGGCGTCTGAGACACACACGGTGGTGCCCAGGGCATAGCCGACCCCGACCGTGGGCGAAGAAGACATATTCAAGTTTAGCCATGGACAATTCCGGCTTTGGACGGGACGACAATAAAAAAACCCACGATTGCTGTTGGACTATTCAAAACATTCCTCTTCGGTCCGCAGCAACGGCGGCGGGGTGGGGGGGGGTACTCATAGTCGTGCATGCCGTAGTCGTTAGACCGTTGACCTCGTATCTCTACAAAGCGGGGACGGAGCACGCCGGGTTCTCACCGGACCAGGCTCTCGCATCACCAAGCGCGAAGCGCCGTGAGGTATTCGGCGAGTCGCATGAAGGGTGCGCTGCATCCTGATGAGGGTGCTCGGCATCTTGTGGTTACCTCCTTGCGTACGGATGACACTGCTGCGTATGACTGAATTTAATTTCTGGTGCTTTCACTTCCAGAGACAGTTGCAAGCACTGTGTAACTGCCTCGAGGGTGCTTGACCAATTTTAACACAACCTGGTGCGATTATCCCCTTTGCGCGAAGTAAGGGTTCTCGACCCCGCACACCATAACCTACTCGACCCCCATTATGGTTACCGCAAAAAAAAAAAGGCGAAAGAAAAAAGCGGTAACATGGTTGCCGAGCTCACGACGTGATCGGTTTGTATTACAACATCTCTGCCAAGAGACGAAAACCCAACCCCGACGGCAAGCACCGGGGGGGGCGGCTTGTTTAGCAACGTCGTTGCCAAGGGACGAAAACCCAACCCTGACGGCAAACGCCGGGGGGGCCGTCAGTCGGGCGGGAAGGTCTTTTAAAGCCCCAACTCCAGCGCAGGTTGGTAGAGCTGTAACGTCCCCTAACGGCCGGAACAAACGAACCCGTCTCTGGTGTGTGGTGATCGACAGCCCCAGGTCCGATCAGAGTTGGGCCAACGCTGTCGAAGACCAAGTTCAAGGCGGACCTGCAGGCCATCAGCGACTACAGGGCGATTCACCGTGAGCTTCGATGTCGGTGTTGTTGTTGTTGTTGTTGCTATCCCGGCCGTGATCACCTGCTCCGGTTGTTTGCTCGTGCTGACGACATTCGGACGAAACCTGTTGGGCCGATGAGCGCATATCTTGTCCTGTGCGGTCAACACGGGAGGGAAAGGTAACGAAAGGGTGCCAAAGACGTGCCGAGTTCAACCCTGGCTTCTTCGGCGTCCCTGCCAAAACACAAACCACGTTATTTTGCTGTGTCTTGCCTAACTAGACTATTGTTGGGTTTTTGTCCGTTGTTCACTCCCGATGTGCGTGTGCCTGTTGCCTGCTTGTGCTCGGTGCGTTTCTATGCATTGTTGCACTTACCGCCTTCTCTAGCGGTGGTGTGGTACATCTTTCGCGAAATCTACACCACCGATGGAACCCCGGACATCTGCAGGTGTGTGGTGGTGTGCTATCGCTTTCACAATAGCTTGACCGTAGAATCCAACGAAACCGCAGCTATATAGGTGAAGCGATACCGGGTTATGGCCTGGAAGTCGTGATACTGGGTGCGTGTGTGTGGTTGGGGATCGAACGGGTCCAGCGTGCTTGACCTAGTGTAGTGCATTTTGTTTGCAGCACGCAAGATTCAGGAGGGTGCCTTCTTATGATGGGGAGACGCCGGCAACGTTCGTCGCCTTTTGTTGGAATGTTTCAATACATCGCTTGGAACCGCCTGTGGGCATGGTTGTGGCGGCTGGCCATCGTCCGCCACACGTTCCACGACACACAGCCACTCCACACGTTGCATTCAATGACTGCCACAACGTTCCATGTGCTTGGTGTATGCGTTGGTGTGATTGCCCACCTCCCTCGCCTGCGCTTGGGGCGCTGCCAACAGCCTGGCCGGTGAGTCGACTTGACTCATCCCGTCGCTGATCCGCACTTTTTCCTTAGGGGCCTCAAGACGATGGTAATGGGTGGTAGTCACTACACCCGCCGACGCACCCACTCACCCTCCCCCGCCTTTAAGATTTTCTCTTAACATACAACGAACAACGGTGTGACAGGTGGAAGCTGGACTTGTACGCCGAAGAGGTGTCGGCAATGAGGAGGGCTAGAATTCTGGAGCCGAACCACATCAAGGCGATATATCAGCTCCGCAGGTGCGTGCGCTCGTGCCGTGTCCGTTTGCTTAGTTTATGGCGTCAACTTAGCGGCCGAAACGAGAAGCAATGAACCAACGTCGCCTATACAAGAACAAGAGGATGGTCGAAGTCCTCGCGGTACTCACACAAGACAGGGAGGAAGATCCTAAATGAAGGCGTACACCACCTGTACCAATGCATAGACCCTGGAGCACATTCTTTGCACCGTACCTTGCCGTACCATTTGCTCGTGCACGGATACCTAACAACGACACGAGTACAGCGATTCACACCACGGATCTTTTCCCTCCTCCTGCTGTTCTCCAATCGATACCGGGACACAACCACCTCAGCCAATATTATTAAGCGGGGTGAGCGGGTTCCGGTCGAAAAACATCCGGCCAATAGCGATAAGGTCGACGAGAACACACTTTGAACTCTGGTTGGCGACGAAGATGACACAGGGTTCCCTAGACCTGCCATTGGCTACAACTGCTGATGCTGTGTTGGCTTTTCGCAGGCACCAAATGTCATGCTTATTTCTGTCTCTTGCGCCCCCCTCCACCCCCCCCCCATGCCGACTGCCAAAGGTTCGTCGCGAGGATCAAGCATATTGTAGCCCAGGAGAAGGAGATGAAAGAGAGGCAGGCGTCGCACGAAAGGGAGATCATCGAAGAACGACAACGATTAAGGTCCGACTACAGGCATCACCAAGCCTGGCGCTCGTCGAAAGGATTCGACATCCGCCACAAACACGACACTCCAGGCACAGACATCTAAGGGAGGGTGTGCCATGCCGTTTTGCAGCGAAAGACGCAGAAAAACGGAAAACCAAGAGCTCAATTCTATGTAGGCCGTAGGCGTAGGCGTCGCCAACAAACTTACGACGTGGCCAAGTGGCCTGGTCAGGGTTTAAACGTCGGTGAGTATTATTGTGGTTTATTGTATTTTTCCGAAGTGTCATTTTTAATATTATTTTCCACGAAGTCTGGAAGGTAACCCTCTAGCAAATAACGAGGGGGCGACACCGGTCGCTTCCCTCTCTCATCCAGAATCCAAGTTCCCTTTCATGTCAACTTGCCGGGCCTAACAAAATGCCGTCTCAGTATACCGAGACCCCCATGGTACTCTACCATTGACATTCACCAACATCGACGTTTTGTGGGACGGCATCCCGCCTCCCTTGCCCGTACCTTCGTGTATGCTAACCCTTCTTCTGCTCCGTCTTCCTCCCCTTTGCTAGTTTACGGGATACCATTTCTACGTCCACCATATTGTCCCGAGTATATATCTTGAACGTACCGGAACCTTCCTTCCATCTACCCTCTCTCTGTATAATTCTATCCGGTACGTCTCCTCCCGCTGCCAACGTGCTGGCGGCCCCGATCCTCAACGAATGCAAGCCAACCTGCCTCGGGTCGCCACCTGTCTCCACAATCTGACGAAGGGCGCTAAGAGCTTTGGAATATTCCCAAACCTTTACCGTATTGCTCCAGCGAAACGAGCACATTGGGGTGTTCTCAGGCAAAGCAAGATGGCACGACATCAATTCCACCAACACCGCCACGGCACCGCCACCGGTACCAATCTGAGAACTCGCGCCTCGTGCTACATCGCGCATTCGTGTAACGTATGCCCTGATCTCCCTTGTGGCCACGAAACCGAATCCGAACACCCGTAGCCTTGAACCAGTGCAACGGGGGTAACACGTGCTCCCCGTCGAAAAACTCGACGTCGCTCCGCCGCAAACAATGCACCTGGTGGCATTGCCCCGACATCGTAGCATAAATCTCATCCGAACGCGCCACCAGAAAATACGACAACGCCAAGCACAGCCACAGGACCCGATCGCCCATCCCCCACGACGCCGTCAGCTGCTATCCCTCCCACAACGTCTCTGACGAGACGGGAACACGACTCCGACGTTTCGTACCCGCTCGCACGTGGGCATGTGCAACACCCAACAAACTCTGTTTGATGAGGGGCGCACCGGTCGGCTACTGAAGCCTCCTATCGACGCGATGAAAATACTGTACAGCGGCCAGCTTGCCGGAAATGGTCGGTGCAACGTTACCCTTATCTGCACAACACCACGCTACAAACTCCAGGAGTGCTTGTCCCAGCACCGTGTATCGTCCGCCTCCCCCGAGAGGTACTCCGACTCGCCAATCAATCCGCGAAAAGCACACCAAGCCCGCCAACCCGGCATGTAAGTTCTTCGAGGCGACTGCGCAACTGACTCGCGGACGTACTCGCGGCTAAGACGCCGGTACAAAGATCGGCGACCTCCGGGTCCAAGACCTGTTGGCGCCATGCGACATTGGGACGGGACAGGCGAAGGTGTGCGTCAATGGTCTCCGGCTCCCATCGTGAAATGTCATCCGCAATCGTGTTATCGACACCCTTAACATGAGCCGCCTCAAAGCACCACCCACTGCCCATCTTCAAACAACCGAGTATACGCATAAGTGCCCCCGAGCGGGGCTCGCCCCCCCGACACTTTTCCACCCAAGCCACACTCGAGGAGTTGTCTCCCATCATACGGATGCTATTGCGAGCGTTCTCCGGCCTCATGTCCGATTGCACAATAAGCACCTAGGCGCCAACCACCATCGCGAGGAGTTCGAGCGTGTTGATGCTCAAATCATCGCGCACCTCAGCCTGCTGGCGAAACCTGTCCCGCACTTCCTGACTGAATTCGAAACGCCATCATACTCCCGAACTGAATTCAGCATGCAAGAAATACCCCCCATGGCATCGCCAGATGCATCTGACCACAAACGACACGAATATGGTTGATCGAAAAAACAAACAGGTGGGGCTGTTCACAACCGCGACGGCGACCCCAAGCCCTCTTGTACCATCAGACGCTAAAACTGCATGTCCACATGAAACTCGGGGCCTATCCGTTTCCGCTCCGGCCCCCGGGCTGTCAATTGCACCGGCGGTAGCCCCAACCCGTTGAGCATACGGCGAACAAAATATTTACCAGGCCGCACAACTTCACAGATATGTAACAGCGAACCAACCACCCCCCGCAACTCGGACTCAGAAGCAAAGTGGCGTGTGGGGGCCCACTCGCGGATTGTCGCCCGCAGACGTTCCAGCTTGTCTGTGGGAACCGAAATCGTCACAGTACACACAACCGTGTTTGCCACGAAGAGAGTTTACGCGGAGACAACAGGGGGGGGTCTCCAGGCCCTCGTGCACCAAACGCACGGAAATGGTCCGATGCACACGACGCGGAAGCTACTTTACACCGTGCGCCAGTCCACATGACTTCGACAAGGATACCATCGTCTACATAGAACTTAACGAAAAACGAGTCAGGACGACTGCCCCCCGAACCGGGGGGAATGCGACACCCAGGGGGAAAGGGGGGTGGCGTCTCCCGTTCGCTAGGCAAGGGGACCTCAACATGGTCCGTTGCTCTACGTCCTAGCTCGGTAACGACTGCACTAGCGAACGACGTGTATTTGTGAGAGTACTCATCCAACGCGGCAGTCATGACACAAAAATTGCCAGGCGAATTGCGCCACTCAAACACCAAGCGCCGATCTACCACGACCAAGTCTTCAACCGAGTAGCCAAACACGGGAGCTCCCGACCATTGGACCGCTACCTGCCGAAACGCGTCAGTAACGTCAATCTTGCTTAACACGATTCGGGCCGATGGACCGTACTTCCTCCGCAGCCATAAAATGCGCCACACAACGTCCCGCAACACGTTACCTAGCGCGACCTTCGGCGCCACCCCCGAATCCGTATCAGCATTGACACTACTCGACGGGGGGGAGCATTCAAACGTCAAGTCATGGATAATACGAGTTTTGCTGGGCGCCACGACCACGCACGACCACGCCAAGCGGGGACAACCGCAACCCCGGAATCGATTCTGCGTCGTTCCGCGGGAACACAAACGCCCGCCCGAACCGCACGTCATCAAACACTTTATTGAGAATGGTGTCGGAGTGTGGGGCTACATACCATACGACAGCGCCTCTGCAATTTTGGAAGATCCACACACGGGCACGACGGCGCCACGCTCCACAATAGCGGCGACGGTCTCTGTTTGAAGAAAACCCTTCAGGCGTCCAAACAAAAACCGAATAAAATCAGGCCGCACCCGCGTCACTCCGATGCCGTTTTCAATGGCTTGCATGCATTCAAAGCGTCCCCCATGCCGACGTAAAAACCTGAAACATTTCACCGCGATCTGCGCAAGTATGGTGGCACGTGGTGTTCCCTTCTCGACGTTCTGAGACATGGCATGTACCATGGAAACAATACGCCGAACATCACTGCAATCTAAAGTACCAACCCCACCTCGGGTCAACGCAGTAGCCGCCCCCGGTCGCAGGAGGTTCGTGCCCGAGCCCGAGACCACGCCCCCCACGAGACCTAAAGACGGCCCTCCCCCCCCGGGGGGGCAGGGCCCGCGCCCCTATTCGTCGGTATCGCCCCCCGCGCCGCCGCCGCCGTCACCGCCTTTCGTGCTGCCGCGAGTCTTCGGGCCGACCCATGCCGCCTTGACCCGTTTCGCCGCGGGGGCGGCGGCGGGGGCGGCGGCGGCATCGGCGGCGGGAGCGGCGGCGGCATCGGCGGCGGGAGCGGCGGCGGCATCGGCGGTGGAAGGGGTACCCTTCGTATCGCCGTCCTCGGCGTGCCCACCAGGGTCGCCCCTTCCTTTGCCGCATGCTGGAATTTGAATTTCTCTCCAATACCGGCAGAACCCCTTTCGAGTAAACTGGTAGCGGCCGGCCGATGACCGGCCGGGCTTGCCCTGTACCATGGAATTGATCAGCCCCCTCGACCGGAGATATGCCGTGAACTTGGGGAATTCTGTGATGGGGGCGACCGGAAGAGCCTCAGACGGCGGAGGGAGAACGTGGTGCCGCTGCATCTCGTCCGAAAACATCTGCACGTCGCGCACGTACGATTCCATATCTTTGCCGAGGAACTTCAAGATGATGTCTCGGTTGTGTTGCTCTTGTATGGCGGCGTAATTATCCCGAGCGTGACTCTCCACCGCGCCGATGACCATCTTGAAAGCATGTTCGATACTATCCACCCGCGCCCGCGACGCCGCCGTCGCCCTCGCGTCGTCGGCTATCCCCCGACGGGCTATGGTGATGAAAGCCCCCGCCATGAGGGACAAGTGCGTGGCAATGGGGAGGCGGCCTCCGCCCGCACCCCGGGGTTTGAAGGCAACGTGGTCGAAGCCGCGAAAGAAAAGAAGCATGTCGGCCACCGCTTCCGTGACCTCGACGCTGTCGAACATGAGCCCTTGCAGGCTCTGCCTCTCGATTTTTGGTGGAAAGCATCCCGTCACTACCCACCACATGCGGATGTGCGACAAGCTCCACGCGTTCACCCGCTGGTCCATGATCACCTCTTCCATCCGCCGTTGGCCAGGTGACACCTCGGCTCCACCCCCGTACATACCGGAACCCATATGCGAGCCTCCCGCTTCCCACCGGGACGTCGTCGCGGGGGTGAAGCCTAAACCGCTCCCGCCGCCCCGCCAACCAACGTCCTGCAGCAATCCGGGGCGTGTACCGACGGGATGTGGCCCGTAGTCGGACGAGAAGCCATTCGCCCCCGCGCCCCCATACATCCGCGCTGGTGCAACCCGGCAGCGCCACCCGCCGCAGCCCCGCCGCCCCGAGCGAACACGACCTACAGCTCCTCCTCGAACTTCGCCGCCATGTCGGCTTTGAGGTCCTCAACCGACGCGCTGATGACGGCCCGTTCATTAGCGCTGTCCTGCCTCTCCGCCTCGTACTCCTCGCGGCCAATCACGGACTCATCCGAGACGCCCCCGTCCCCGATCATACCTCCGTCCCCCGACGACGGGTCCCCGATGACCGATCAATATCCTGATCACAGGGGAACAATTGGGTATGAAGACACAAGGAAAAAAAATATGGGGAACGTCAGAACGATGATGTCATGACGACCGCATATCGTCTCGCAGTCGCACCAGCGACCTACACGCCATACACCTGGCGTGCGGTTCCTGACCACCACGGATCATCTCCCATGACCCGCCATCCTGGTCTACCATCAATAGGCCGTGAGCCGGCAACCATACGCTCCAGCGCATCCAGCTCCATATCTATTGATTTGTTTTGTTTATCGTGCCGTTCCACCGATTTTTCCATGCACGACGACCCACATTTGCGCGTGCACAACCGGCCCATGTAAGATTCAGTATGTGTCATGACGGCCGCATGCCGTGCCGCAGTGGCACCAGCGACATACATGCCATACATCTTGCTTTCGGCTCCTGATAACCACGACCCATCACCCGATTAGACGCTATCATGGTCGACAATCAATCATCGCACCCTTCTCATCCGGTCCAAATTGACCTCTGGAAAACCTCGTGGGAAAAAAAACCATCGATCAAGTGTACACGACATGACAAGCAGCGACGACCATCGAAAGTAGATTCGTGTTTGTCTCCGGGTTTGGACGGCGGTTTTTCACCAATCTACCACCCTTGTCTGGCCCAGACAAACACCCTGGACGATGTGTCTCGTCTTGTGCTCGGAATTTGTCACAGCCACACCTATTCATATAGTCTATAAGACGTAGAACGTGGTATTGTATGCACACGGTATTGGAGCCGAGGCCCCATCAATTCGCGGTAAGACTCTCATCAAACGAACCGACCAGACACCATATGTCCAGTAGTAATTGTCCTACAGTATAGGCCATGTTTTTTTTCGACACAATGCATTTATTTGCGCAACAATGAGGTGGGGCGAACACTGCTCCGTTGTCCATCAGTCTGGCGTGGGCCTACGTGGTGGACGAACGAAATGCCCGAGAGGACGGTGCACTTAGATGTATGAGGATACAGTAGAGCTTCCTCTTCTTTCCGTCCTCCGCTCCGCTCAAGTAGGCGCACACGTCATCTTTCCTCCGAAAACCGATCTGTCCACTACAAAACCGAAACCGAGAAACCACACGATGGATGCGGTCGCCCCGGTGGTCTAGTTGTTACCTTCGACATGTTCTAGAGGTCAGGGCACGGGTTCGGATCCCGGCGAAAGCGAGCTTTTTTTCTTGCTAGAGTGAGTTTTTCTCTCGCTTCCAATCCTTGCCTAGTGGATAGCGCTAGTTCGTGTGTACGCAAGAGGGAAGAGCGTGCTGATCTCTTCTCGTATCAAAAATCGAAGGCAAAGTACCGCAGGAGGGGAGGGTAGAGCGGGGCTCTTCTGCATGATGACCACGGGTTGGAGTAAATGGCATTAGTGCTGTGAGCGCTGATTTGAAGTCAAGACAAAAAAAAGAAAAAGAAACGCACTGCCGCAGCAGCTGTATATGGTGGATGAACATCGGTCTATAGCGTACATACAACATCAAACTTCGATGCAGTCTTCTTTCTCCTTGCAGAGGGCGCGTGTCGTCTAGACTGATACCCAGCGTGGTATACCTCCACCGCTGTACAACAAGAACCCTAGGGCGGCAGCTCATCCACACGATACCGTAGTAGTCGGAGAGTTGGCACCGGGTGCGATCGTTTTTTTAAATGTTTTTTCCTCGGATTTTTTATTGCACCCCCGAGCCGTCTCTCCGACTGGTGCCATCTCTCCGGCCAGTGCCAACTCTCCGACTATTATATATTAAGGAATAATAAAAACACACACAGAAAGACTACCTATATATACGGTTTACGATACTCCTTTTTCCGTTTCACAAAATGACGTTTCACAAAATGACCGCACATGGTTGGGCCCACCCGCGGTTCGAATGACTGCACTCAGCAGTTCGATGCTGCCCTATCGGAAACACCATTGGACAGAGGTGTCTCTACGACCGGCCCTGCTGTTGTGGTGTTTGGACACGAGAACAGCAAGGATGCGAGCGATAGCACGGTGCGAAGTATCCCGAAATGGAGCAGTTGTATATCTATGTTGTCCGCCACAGCAATTAGTAATGAGTACGTCACGGGAAACTGTACATGTTCGAACGTATCGTGGTGGTGCAGAGTGCACCTGACAGGAGGTAATTGTGACATGGATATGCATGTGTTGATCACATGTAGACAAATGGATGCTCTCGACAGAACCTGTGACCCTTCAATCCGTGATTGGCAGCGTTTCATGCTCAGCGTGCCGAGCACTGCTGTGTTGCGCGTGCACGTCACCACACAGCTTCCCTGGCATCGCGTCAACAGCGTCCATAGGGGCAACACCCAATCAAGCGGGTCAACAAGGAAGAACACCGTCGTCGTCGTCCCGCCTCGGCACGCCAGCAATTTCAAATTTCAAGCCGCAAGACATCGTGACAAACATACAGTAGAGTATGTCGATGCCCATGGAGCTAACGGAGCCGCTATTGCGAGAAGGTCAGCCCAAATAATAAACAGACAGGCAGCAACCAGAGATGGATACACTGATGATATCGCTCGTTTTCCTGATCTGAGCTGAGCGGACACGCCAAGCGCGAAACGTCTGGGTTAGCGATACCGCGCGTACATACGAGTTCGGGTGAAGAGACATCGAAGAACGCAGTTGAACGATCTGCACAGTTTGTAGCAGGAACTTGAACTTGACAACATCTTTTATTCCGTTTGAAAAAGTAGCGCCACAGCCAACATGTGCCACTGCCACCAGTAGCAGAATGGCATCAGACGCCCATTCTGCTTCGAGAAGGTCTACATCAGTACAACACGTGGAGTTGTTTGTTTAGATATTCGTGGTATCTGGGGTCACGGTTGTCATTTATTGTGTAAATGGCGGGGATACCGCGTTCTTTTATCTAAGTAGTTGGAAGAGTTAGGAGAAGCAGAGACACACTGGACCAAAGGGTATCTTGGCGCTGTATGTTTCTTCTGTCGGGAGCCGAGTTTTTGCACGGGTGACGGGCACAAGACGGTCCTCCTGAAGATGGACACGAAGAGCGCAGGAACGTTTTTTTTTTTTTTTTTGTAAAATTTTAATGTGGTCGAAACGTCTGGTGGTCCTGTTTGGAAGCGAAGCCTCGCGAAAGTGCAAATATGTTATCCTTGCGGTAGTGATCCTGCACGCGGTACATATGTAGTGTGTCCTTTCCGTTTGGGCCTCTGGGCATTCATCGGGAGGTCGAGTAGATAAAAGCTCACTCCGGAGTATCGTTCATCCAAATATACAAACAACCATGCCAATCATGGACACCTCATACGTGTCACGCGCAACAACAACAACCATTTGTTCGGACCACATACAGCGCTTCTCCCTAGACATCCCAACGATGAGAGACGAAGCAAGGCGAACCACGTGGTGAGCGTTGTCTCTTCCCGTTATTTTTCCGTGCTTTCCGCTGTGTCTCAGTCATGTCAAGCAGACCGAAAGCACCTGTAGTGCGGTAGACGTACATACGCCAGATTGACTTTGGTGTGTGTGGGACGTCAGGCTGGGGCTAATCTTCGTTATTCTCGGTCTGCGCGTTAGACCACTTTATTGGCAGGAGGGCTATTCCGTACTATCTGCGTTTCTTCATGCATCAGGGGATGGAGAGACCGAACGAGAAAGAGATTCGGACGCAGGCAAAATAGTTTTCTTGGGGCGGGCAAAGCGCACTTGGCGCCGGATGTCGCAAACCACTTATTTCTTGTTTTTCTCGCAAACAAACGAAACCGTTTCTCGGTTGAAGCCTAACGTAGGGCTTGGAGCAGTCCACGAACAGAGGAGTCGGTACGCCATAAAATCACGTAGGATGCCACATATGAACCCCTATCACCGACCTCGGAGCCATTGGCGGGCATCTATTGAGTGTGCTCCAAATCATGTCCTTTCACACCAACAGCATCATTGCCAACTCAACACGTCGTCACAACGGTCCCCGTGTCAGGCGAGAGCGATGCTGATCGGCAGGTCTCCAAGCATTTCGGGGAATCTGCCCCGCAGAAAGTAGAAGAACTCGCCTACCCAAGCCAGACGGCACCTCCGTCTATTGCCACGCCGGCGATGGACACGGACGGGCCCCTGGACGACGAAGCCCCCTTCGCGACCCCGTCGGCTGGCGGCCTCAGCGCCACTACTGCCACCTCGAACCACCCGCTGCTTAGTCCTCCTGCTGCGTCTGCTGCCGCCCCCCCCCCCGCCGCCCGCGCGGTTGGCGGAGACAGAGGGCTGCGCGAAAACGACGACTCGCCGACAGCAGTTTCTCCAGGCGCTGTCGGCCCCACAACGGCACCGGGAGGGGGCGTCTCTCCTGCCGCAAGTGTCCCTGCAACCCCGGAGAGTGTCGGGGGCGACGCAAGAGGAGACTGGGGGGGGAGTGTCGGGCGCTCGAGTCCGGTGCCCTCGGTACGTTGCGGTCCTATGCTTTCCGACCTGTCGGCTAGGCTTGATCTCCTGGTTGGTGGTTGCGGGTAGCCTGCGGTCGCTTCATTTATCAACAGGCCTTTAATCGGTAAAATTAGACCATCCGGCTAGTCAGCGCTGACTAGCCGGAAGGTCTAATTTTACCGATTAGCCTTGTCCGGTGTACTTTCAAAAAGTCGAATAAAGGTTGATGTGACCCACCACCCCGCAAGCAAGTCCGCAGAAAGGCTCAATCGACAATCTGCTTGACACTATCGACGAACGCACGGAAATCGGAGCGCCGTGCGGTTGAATTCTGGCGGGCAGGGCCTTAGACTAAAATACGTATTGACCCCGGTACCTTGGTCTAGCCAACAACCGTGAGTGCTGCGTGCTTTCAAACTACCGGTAAACTTACCCCGGTTTGCCGCTGTGGTGCCTCGTCGGGCGCAACACATAGAGGTTTTTAGGAAATAGCGTGATAACCGCCGACGCCAAGGCCACCGAGATCTTCGCCCAGCCGCTCGCGAGCGAGGGCGCGGGAAGCGTATTCCCCCTGGACCTGCCGATGTCTAGCAGGTACGGCTCGTTGCTCGTTGATGTCGCAGCCGTTGATCTTGGATGCTGCTCTTGGGGTTGCAGAAAAATCTGCGTGCATCCCGGTTGCAGCCGCTATCCGGCCACCTCATCTGTGTACGGTGCTACTGTAACCCTTCCATCGGTTAGGCACAAGGCGCGAGAGAGTGGGAATACGTAACGTGAGAAACCATGGCTGTCTCGTCCCGTCGCTGTCGCAACTCGGGCTGCTTGCCCACGAAAGTGGTTTTCCCCAACCAGAAGATCACTCCAAACGGTGTTGTCGTTACCAAGCCTTGCCCAAGGGGTTGAGGTTTCGAGCGTTGCGCTTGACAACGCGCCATGAGCAATGTGACGCCGTCACGACCTGCCCCTACAGACTGAGCCCCCTCCTTCCTTCTCCATCCCGGCGTTGCAACACCCTAACGCTAGCGAGCATATATCGAAGGCTCCGGAAGTGCGGTATTCTCAACAAGCCAGAAGAAGTGCTCGTTGATGTATTCCTTGCTGACGCTGTTCCTCGTTTCCCATCCCCCCCCACTGACCCTCGGTGCTGTGTATGGTGGTGGTGGGTCTCTCGCCTGTGGTTGTCGGCGCTGGCCGTGGCCCCGTCGGCGCTTGCTCTCTTTGCGACGGAATTTCTCCTCCGACCTCCTGGCTGCTGTCTTTCCGCCGTCTGCTGCCTGGCGTTCCGTGGGCCTCTTGCTGTCGGGTGGGACGGCGGCGGTGGCGGTGGCGGTGCGCTTCTGCAGACGGGTATATGAAGTCGAGTTCATCAAACAGTTCGACAGGTAGGTGCGCATAGGTTTCTACGTGAAGAGAGTTCTAAGAGAGGAGGGAAATGTGCTGCTTGCATTCATTCGCGAAACAAAATGCATCGCAACACGAGAAGAACAAAGTTCCCAAAGCACGTTGTGTGCATTCACGCCTGGTGATAGAAAAAAGGAGTTTCTGAGGGACTACAGTATGGAAGGGAAAATAACAACGAACTACAGTATGGAAGGGAAAAGAACAACGAGGAAAAAACACCTCCGGGACTACGTAGGTACCACAACGCCCGAAAGGATCGCTTGACTAGATCCCGGCTTGCACTGTTTCTTTCTCAACTCACCTCAGGTGTGTGTGTGTGTCTTTTTTTGTTCGACAACAAGTGCACGTGCCAGGTATTTACCGCTCGCTGGCTCCAGCATTAGACTAGTTCTAAAGTATTCGTTATCCCGATTTCATGGTTCGGTGGAAATCTAGATGACAACATCCGACTCAACAACTATCGACGTGTTCGAGTTTTGTAGTCGACACCCTCCCCAATACTCCCCCGCTCTCTCTCGACGACCCTCCCCCTCCCTT